GGGTTCTCCCATTCAAATGCGAATAATTTCTGACTGGCTTCATGGACAGGGAGGCAAAAGAAGGCATCTTTCAGATCTAAAACAGTAAACCAGGTTAATTCAGGAGCCAATATGGTCAACAAAGTACATGCGTTTGCTACTACTGGGTAGAGGTCCTCTGTTATTTTGTTTATGGCTTGCAGATCCTGGACCACACAATACGACCTGTCAGATTTACGGACAGGTAGTATAGGGGCGTTAAAATCCGACTCGCACTCTTTTAATAATCCTAATTGTAAAAATCTTTCTGTCTCTGGCCGGATGCCTTCCTTATCTTCCTGTTTTAGGGGATATTGCTTAACTCTTACCAGTTGCCAGCCTTCTTTGAGTCTAACTTCAATGGGTTGAGCATTCTTCACTCTTCCAGGGACATCAGTGGCCCATACCCCAGGGTATACCCAGTTTAGGATCTCCTTGGGAATTTTTCCTTCTGTGGGAGGACTGGTTAGAAATAGACTCAGTACCTGAATATATTGTCGATCCTTTACCTCCAGAGTAATTTCTCCTTTTTCAAATGTAATTTTTGCACCCAATTGTTCCAACAAATCCCTTCCCAGAAGTGCCTTTGGGGAGTTGGGCATATACATTCTTATTTGTGGATGCCTCATTGTTTTCCTAATTTACACTTCAAAGGTTTACAAAAGTATGCCTTTTCACTTTGCCCAGTTGCCCCTTTTACCATGATATAGTCACTCCCCAGGGGCATCAAGGCTTGATTCAAAACTGGGTATGTTGCTCCCGTGTCAACCAAAAATTCTACCTCTTATTGTTCCTTCCCTAGCTTCATTATAACCAGTGGATCCACTAGGGTGGATTCCACAGGTCCCCGTCAATCTTCCTTTACATGGACTATTTTTCCTATCTGGCGGCCTTGTACCCTTTTCCTTATTTTTTGGACATTCCCTTTTCCAGTGACCAAATCTTTTACACAGCGCATATTGGTCTTTACCCAACCGGGACCATTCCCGTCTAGGCCTTCTTCCTTCCTCTTCCCTAATGACTGTCACTATTCTCTGTCCTTGCCTGCATCCCTCTTCTCTATTGCTAAACACTCTCCTTGCTTCATCCAGCAGGACTTCCAAGTTCCTATCTTCTGTAGGATGCAGCTTCTGGAGTTTGCGCCTAATGTCCCCCGTAGACTGACCCAAAAATAGGGAGACTAGTTGTTGTATTCCTATCTCTGACCCAGGGTCCAGCAGTGTGTTACGGCGCATTACATCCTTCAGTCAATCCAGGAATTCTGATGGGGACTCGGAATGACCTTGTTTAACTGCATATAAAGCTGACCTATTTATAGTTCTGGGAATGGCCCTTTCCATTCCTTTAAAAATCCACTCTTGGTATGCCTGCAATCTCTCCATATGAGCAGACCTGTTAGCATCCCACTTCGGGTCTTGGAGGGGGAAATAATCCTTAACATCACCTTCCGCAGTCTTATAGTGATCTTCAGCCAAATCACCTGCAGTTTTTAGAATTAACTGTTTCTCTGTATCGGTTACATATTCTGATAGCAATTGTATGTCATTCCAATCTGGTTTATGTTGTTTCATTATGAATTTAAAGTGTTTAGCGACACACACTGGGTCGACCCGATATTCCCGGGCTACCTTTTTCCAAGCGTCTAAATCAGTGGTGGAAAAAGGTATTTTGATTAGCATAGTTCCACCATCAAGTCCTACTGCCTCTCGGAGAGGTGCCTGTAAGACTGTTGTAGCGAATTTCTTCCTAGTCCGGGAAGATATAGGGCTGTCTGAAGGAGTGGGAATTTCATCCGAGTTCGCATCCTGTTCCTGTGGTTGAGGGGGAGGCTTAAACAAGTCAGATAGATCTTGTTCTGGTGCCTGGTGAATTTTGTTAGCTTTAGTACATCTTTCCCCAATGCTACATGCTGAACAACACCGCCTCAGTTTTCCCCCGAGTTCTTTATTATTTTCTTGCTCCAGTGAGAGTACCATGGGGTCCTGTGGTGGTATCATTCCGCACTCCCTTTGCCACTCCGGATGGTTTCGGAGGGTGAAAAACATATCTGCATATGAAACCTCATTCCATTTTCCTTCTCTCCTCAAAAACAGCATTAATTGCAAGAGAGTATTATAATCTATTGACCCATTTAATGGCCACTTGGCCCCATCTTCCAATTTATACAAAGGCCACCATTGATTGCAATATTTGATAAGGGTCCTTTTACTTTCTATGCCTCCAGTCCCAACAATGTCTTTCCAGTGAGCAAGTACACAGCCTAAAGGACTCTTTTTCAAAACTCCTCCCTGATTGTTACCCATTTCGCGACTTATTGCCCCTTTAACTTGCCTTTTGCTATTCTTTTAATAAGTTTCCACGCGAATCGCTTCTTACAATTCACTATAGTTTCTTCCCAATCTTTCTCCCCCACGTCCCAAATTTCCGGAATCAAATTTTCCCTTCCACGCACCAGCTTCACTACCTTTCCCAGCTATAAAACCGTGGGGTCCGGGGAAGGCACTTAGGACACTGCGCTCCTCGCCTCCTAGATACACAGGACCTCTTTTTATCACAAGATTTACACTTCAACAGGACCCAAGCTTGGTGCCAATTCTGATATAATCTAGGAGCTAGCCCACGTGCGAAGCAGGGAATTATTCCTGCTTGCCCCCCAACCCCAGGACTTGTAAGGATTTCTGGAGGTTGTTCCCAATCTAAGGCTACCTGCCACCCGGCAGGAGTCACGTATGCCCCTTTCAAATAAAATCTCTCTTCTCCCCTTTGTATCCAGTTCCCCCCCTCATTCAAATACTCCCAAGGTTCGAGCCCAATCCCCCTAAGGAGTGATTTCTTTTGCTCTGCCACTTTAATAATTAACCAGTTCCCACTCCCTGTCACTTAGGAGAGTGATTAGGCACTACCGCAGCCCAAGTTGCACATCAGAAGATTTACAGGCTTTATAATTATTCCAAGCACTTTGTCCGTCTCTGGCCGTGCTCCTCGCGGAGTTACGGAACCGCAGATCGGGACTCCCACTCGCTTCACCGCAGTGCTGTGTCTCAGCCACACATACACACGCACAAAGGCAAAACTTTTCACATAAAATCCCCGGGTATTCAAATTATAATATTATCACTTCAGTTAACATTCGTATAAAAACCACCCAAACACAATTACAGTTACCATTCATACAAAAACCACTCAAACGCAATTGCGTGCAGGTCCGCTTACCTTCTCCTGCTGCTTCTGTGCAAAACCCGCCCGAACGCAGCTGTGCGGAGGTCCGCTTCCCCTTCTGTACCAAACATGTAACCAGTGGGGTGCCCCAGGGGTCAGCACTGGGCCCGGCCTTGTTTAACTTCTTCATCAGTGACCCGGATGAAGAGTTAGAGTGTACCCTCAGCAAGTTTGCTGATGACACCAAACTGGGAGGAGTGGTGGATACACCAGCAGGCTGTGCTGCCATTCAGCGAGACCTGGACAGGCTGGAGAGGTGGCCAGAGAGGAACCTGATGAGGTTCAACAAAGGCAAATGCAGGGTCCTGCACCTGGGGAGGAACAACCCCAGGCACCAGTACAGGCTGGGGCGGCCCTGCTGGAGAGCAGCTCTGCGGAGAGGGACCTGGGTGTCCTGGTGGACGA